AGAATAGAATAGAATAGAATAGAATAGAATAGAATAGAATAGAATAGAATAGAATAGAATTCTTTATTGGGCAAATGTGATTGGATTGGAATTTGTATTTGGTGCATATGCTCTCAGTTTACATAAAGGAAAAAAATACATCAAGAATCATAAGATACAACACTTAAGTGTTAGTCATAGGTTACTATACAGCAATCAAATCATACTAGGAAACAAAGACAATATAAATTGTAAAGATACAAGCAACACGGTTATGGGAGGAGATAGGTACTAGGAAGTGTTACTATAATCTAGTAGTAGAGGAATAATAGTAATACAGTCTTAGTAAATAGTTAGACGGTGTTGAGGGAATTATTTGTTTAGCAGAGTGATGGCGTTTGGGGAAAAACGGTCCTTGTGTCTAGTTGTTCTGGTGTGCAGTGTCTATAGCGTCATTTTGAGGGAAGGGGTTGAAGCAGTTTATGTCCGGGATGTGAGGGGCCTGTAGATACTTTCACAGCCCTCTTTTTGACTCGTGCAGGATACAGGTCCCCCATGGAAGGCAAGGTTGGTAGCCATTGTTTTTTTCTGCAGTCCTAATTACTCGAGTCTGTTTTCTGTCTTGTTGGGTTGCAGAACCACGATTTGGGGGGTGTCCCAGAGAAAGCTGAGCTGGGAAGGGGACGAAATCTTTACTGAGCAAGGTTTTAACAAGACCCACCTCTCCCTACTTGGAACAGAATCCGTTGAGGGTCTTCTAACTCCGCAAAGGAAGAGATCCCGCCGTACGTTTCCTTGGCCCACCTCAAAAGTTGCTCGCTGGAGTAAGGTACCAGGATTACGGTGGAGTTATGGTTGGAAGAAGGTATGACAAAGCTATGAGGACTCTGCAGAAACAACACGAATAATGAGAACGATGTTGATACACAGTATAGCATAAACACAGTTGGAAGGGACCTTAGAGGTCTTCTAGTCCAGCCCCCTGCTCAAGCAGGAGAACCTACACCATTTCAGACAATAGGCAGTCCTTGACTTACGACAGTTCATTTAGTGACAACCAATCAGAACCGGCTGTATACCACCTCTGGCGTTTGTGTGGCCCGTAAGACAATTGGTATTTTGAGTTTTGCTCTTGGTGTTGTCTGCATTTCTCCCCGCCTGGAAATATCCTTGGAGCCCACAGGATGAAAGCTCTGCGGAAAGCTAATCTCCCTCTCGGATCAAAGGGGTTTTTATATCCCATTGTTGTCTGCTGGGACTGGGGGGGGGGGGGGAGAGAAAGACTCCAATCTTGGCATCATCCAGCATCAATTCGGAAAGAGGTCGGCCGCCTTCAAAACAGGCCTTTGTAAATCTGTCCTGGGAGGGCGGAGAAGCGCATCCCTTCCCCGAGAAATAGTTTTGCAATTCCCCCTTTTCAAAATAATTAATAATAGTAATAGTAATAATAATAATAATAATAATAATAATAATAATAATAATAATAATA